TTGGGATCACTTTATAGATATTTGGTACTAAAAGCCAAATAGCCAGAATATTGATATATGTTCCCTTTTAAAATCAGTTGCAGAATATCATTAAATTAATGTTAACAAAGACAGATGCTAATACGGACCTACACAATCATAAATAAAATTATTAGAGTGTGTGTGTGTGGTGGGGTCTTTTAAGGAAACAATTTTTATGAGAATCTAGAAATGTGCCAAAATTCTCCAGTTTGTCTCTCAAGCTTGTTTGGGCAGAGGCTCTTAACCCAGCTGTCCACAGCAAGCAGTGTGACAAGACATTAATATGCAGTGCCGCAGGGTGGCTCAGCATTCATACGTTCATAAATAATTTGAAAAACGTATGGTGGGGAGTACAGAGCTCCTAGGGAGATTATTGTTGGACAGCCTGTTATGTGCTCCCAACCTCTGCAGAGATCACTGCCAGGTTTCCTCCTCTTTTAAATAATAGAAGCATCACTGAAGAATAAAACCAGATTTTCTGTATTCTTTCAGCTAAGAAAAATACACTTAAAAAACCCTGAAAACTCTGGGCTGCGTATATATATATTTTAATAACGTTTATGTAACGGTAGGGTGCATTAGCTGACAGCGAGTCGCTAACACCCTGCCTCTAAATCGGTGCCTGTGTCGGGAGGGCAGTTCGCTGTTGTCAGCTGCTGTCAAATCCAACTCCCAGCAACTGACAGGTCACAGTTTAGGATCCTAATAATGCGGCAGCTTTTTCCACGTCAGTGCACCAGATGGGGTTATTTTCTCACAGAGGTTATTGTTCGCTCACTGTAAAAATAATTCAAAAATAAAATTAAAGAATGAAAACTGTGATTCAACCACCTACAAACTCACTCAGAAGAGCCCCAAATTGTAAGATGGGTCAACAAGTAAATGTAAGAGTGACAAAACTTTTAACGCACATCAGGAGGAAGAAAATTCAGTGCAAAAAGCATAGATTAAGAATAGCAAAACCTGCTTTACTATGCTTAAAAGCAGAATCTGCAAGTCAGTCCAACCTATGAAAGGGTCATGAATTCAGTGATTTCAGGAAAAAGCAATTCAAGACAGTTCCTATAAAAAGAAAACTAACAAGTTGATTTACTGCAAGTGCAATAAATTATTAACATTCAGTGCAACTCTCAAGCTAGTAGCTCTAAAATAAACCATTGATATTTAAGAATTGCAACACAAATGAGCACTGAATGTGGCATATTGACTAGCACTGGGAACATGGCAAGGTTTTGGCAAAGTATATCAATACAAAATTCCTACATATTTGTGAAAAAGTGTTGCAGAGTCCCTAACGTTCACACGGAAAAGACCGTATGTCTACCTTTAAGCACCCAGCTTGGAGATCCAACCCAGTAAACCAGAATTAAGTATGTTTACATATAGGACTGAATCATTCCCACCATTAGTTCCATTCAAAACCTGCCAAAGTACCTAGATATTTTAGGTAATCTGACTGAACCACTGGCCAACCCCACCTGGCAGTACTCTGCCTTGCCTCTTTCCTAGTATTCACTGGGAAAAAAACCCAGTCCTATTTACAATATTTTATCAGGAAAACACTTAGCAAGTGAACATGTACTGTGGCCTTTTTTTGGAAACAAAAGCCACCACAAAACCCTCAAAGCAATTACGCAGAAGTAAAGACAAATTGCAACGTACTCAACAGTATCCCCCCAAATGACCGTATCTTCCAGTAGTCATTAAGCGTGCTGCATCCTCGATGGGCTTCCCTGCCTGGAACCGGGATGGCTGAGTTGCCCATCGAAGGTGTGCACAAGATGCCAACCAGAGTGGCATGTCTTCATTTAGCAGCACAGATGTTTTGCACGCAATCAAGGCTGGCTATGAAAGAATCAGCAGGAACTAATTAACAACCAAAACAGGACACAGAGCAGAGATATTAAGGAATTCAGCTGAAGGAGTTCGACACCTACAGAGTAATTCCTTTGAAAAAGATTCAGGCAAAGTCCCAAACCAAACAGCCAATCATTGATTATTTTTCCTGCTGTTCCTAAACCTCCTGGACATTTAATTCACCCCCTTTCCTGAATCTAAAGGCAGCGGTATCGTGCTTGGCAGCTCTGGGAACTGTATATTCTAATAAAGGTTTTGTCAATAAATATTTTAGAAGCAATGCCGTACTGGGAGAAAAGGAGTTTGAAATCTTTGCGTAGCAATATGTCCATGAACTAACTGACAATTGCTCATTTCCTTTTCAGTTAAACATGCACAAAAGGTATCTGAAACTTCACCCAATCCGGGCTTAGTCTGTACAGTATGTTTTATTAAAAAAAAAAGAAGCTTACTTTCAGGGCTACTGTCATTTTCATTTGAAGAAATTTTCTGAAAGCTTGGAAATGCTGACAAGCCTCAACCAAAACAACTTAACAGCACCATAATTGCTATATACCTAACAAGGTTATAGTAAACATTTTTCTTGTTGTCCAGAAACCTACTTACTTGTGGGACGGAAATGTTTTATTTATAAACACCAAAGTAACAGCATTTGCCAAGTACACTCACACCAAAAAGAGCTTATGAAGAAAACCTACAAAATATCTGTAACAATTTTACCGTATTCATATTTCAGACAAGACCTTTTCAAATAAAACTGTGAACTAAAAGAATACCTCTTTGTGTAATTATTTTACAGTGCCTTGGTACCACAAAGACTTGTGACAAACGTTTTTGTCCCTAAAAGGATTATGAACCTGCTGAATCATTAGAAAATATGTACATGTTATTTATCAAATTACGTGCATTATGTCAGAAAGTTTAAGCCACGTTTAAGAACCTTGCTGCAAAGCAGCCTAGAATAATGCAAATATTAAATTTTGTCACTTGGGTGATTTTCAAATTAGTTCTCTCTCACGGCACAGTTACTTTCAGAACCTGCATCACCATCTTTGAAGTGTCTCACTACTTAGTGAAACCACCTTTCTGTTAATGACAGTACCTGGGACAAATTTCCCCCTCCTACGTTGACAGGAAGCTATTTGAAAAGTTAAGCTACAATTAAGTACCACTTGGGACCCATTCTGATCCTTTCTAACTAAATTTTATCATACCTCTCCTTTTCAATGCATTTTACAAGGTTTGACAGGAGAATATGGGGGTATTCAGATTTAGAGAGAACAAAGCCATGAATGAATACAGCGACTGGAGGGAAGTTTGCTGGTTCTATAAGCTGTGAAAATTCAGCGCGATGGTCTGATTTCCTTTATGTTGACTACAAGGGGTATGGTTTCCATTGAGATTCATTCCCCAAAGAAGTGCAGAGGTAGAAGGAACATCCTTTTGGCGTATAATAGGCTCTAGCCTTCCAACTGAGCAACGCTGAAGCAATACACAGCACTCAACATCCACAGGTTGCCAACAACTACGTCAAGAAACAAAGACAGAAGCTGAGATGGTGTAAGAAACCTCCTCCTTTGCATCAAAAAACAAAGACAGAAGTTGAGATGGTGTAAGAAACCTCCTCCTTTGCCCTGCCCTCGAATTTAATTCCATTTTGCAACACCAAACAGGCAACGATAACAGCATCGTACCCTCTTCTTGTTTCATTGTGTGGACACTGTGAATTCAGTCTCTTGCAGTACCAATTTTAAAGATGTATCAGTGTACATCTAATGTGATGTATTAAGATGTGTTGCCTGTAGGTTTTCTTCACCAGAGAAGCCGTGTTGGTCACCTTGATGACACACTAACCCATCCACTCTGCTGAGGTAAAAGCTGTTGATAACTTGTGTTTTCTGACTGTCTTCTACTCCATTTCCTAAGTTGTATCATACTTATTTTGGTTTTAGTTACTACAGCATGTTTTTAAAATTTCCTTAAAGTTCTGAGCCATAAAAAATTGGGACTTTCTTTTAGAATTTAGATTTGTTTTACAGACTTGCCTCTATCTCTAAAAAAAAAATGAACAAAATTTTCTGTTATTCCTTCCCTTACTTCAATTCTGTCCCTCCTAATTCCTACCCCGTGCTCTCCCTTTGAGTAGATACACTGTCATCTGATTGGCAAAGAACGCTTTTGTATATTTGTGTCCAACAGAAAGAAAAAACCAACAACAAAGTTCACTACCAACTTTGTACTTCAACTGTACTGTACAGATAAAAGATACACTAAATATCAGTTGGCCCCAGCTCAAATAGAAAGCACGCACAGAACAAACATAACATATGCTGTAAATACAAATTCTCATGCAGATCCTGAGCGAAAACTCCCCTTTCTGGTACTGCACAAGGAAGTTCTGTTGGAGTTAAACCACCTATTTCATGTCTATTTAGGGGGACAAAACAGTCCTTTAACTTGCAAAATACATTTTCCAGAATTTTTTCTGCAACTTCAGATTTGGAATGGGTCGGTGGGGGTGTGTGGGTGCACACGTACGTGTGCACAGCCAAGGCTTACTCATAAATCCTGGGAGAAACACTTCCAAGGAAATGAACTGCCACCCTCTCTTTCCTTCCTCTCTCCCTCCTCCCCATCTTAATAACCTTAACCTTACAGAATGTGATTATTTTATTATTTTATAACTCGCTGGGAGTAATATTTGGGATTGAATCCAAGTTGCCTTTGTTTATTAAGTACTTTGAAATACAGGAAACAACTCCTCAGCTGATGAAAGTTTAGAGTATTTCTTGTGTTCTTAAGATGATGGCTAACATCCTGAACAGCTAGCTATCCTACGGGGCTGCTTCCTACATGAAAAACTGACATAACAGTGATTTTCTAATTAATTTTCCTGAGTTTTTGAAGCTATTACTACAGCTTTAATTTTTCTATTTACTTTTATGAACACCAGTTCATAGAGTTTCTTGATTCAAGGACATGTTGAATGAAATCCTCACACTTCTGAACGGAAATACTCCGTCACTAGCTTTAATACACAAAGATTTGACCAAGGTACCTAACCCCCCCCGAGTATATTATACATTTATAAACACTGCAAAATTCCAGAATGAGGTGTGTACCTGTTACTTCCAGTTTGTCACCAGTGACTTCTGCTTTCAGATAAATCCTTCCTCTTTTCTCTGTGTGATCCATGCCACAGAGGCTTGGGACGTTTATTACGCACTGCTTATGAACATTCATATCACAAGCTGTGGATATAAAAATGGTTCAGACAGCTATGAGAAGCTAATAATATGATTACACTGCAAACACCGAGCAAAGTGAAAGTTAAGATTACAATGCTTAACTGTTGGCAAGACTTTCAGATTACAGCTGCATGTTTTTCAGCTGAACAACATGGCTACTTTCCATCTTACAACACATTTTGTAGACAGCAAATGGAACAGAGAATAAAGTAATCCACTTCAGAAACCTAAAGATATCATTAATGAAGTGCAAGGGAAAAAAAGTGAAAATGGAGTAAAGACTTGCTGGGAATACGACTAAGAAAACAGAGCATTCGTGCCAGCGTTAGCAATGAAGGGAGTTAGGTTTGAATTGATTATTAGATTTTCTAGCGGAAGACTTCCAAGACAAATGAAATGCGAGGAAAATATTGGACCTTGGCTACCAACCAAACTGAAATTTCAGTTTTCAACAGTGTATTCACCTGGCCAGTCCAAAACCAGCCTTCCTCAAAACTGCCACGGCAAATGCTCTTCAGCCACATCAAACTCAATATACCATGTTCTCAGCAACAGAGGTGATTTTCATTAGTAGATTATTATAGTACTGAAATATCCACTTGAAATATAACAGTACTATAAATAGCTGACATTTGAAATGGTATTTTCCACAGAAAAGAGATAAGAAGCTGTTACCCAGTGTTTCCACTTACTTTCTAAAATACCCTTTTGGTAACATAGAAAAACTTCACTTACTGTCACATTTCATCCCTTGGTGCAGAAGCCCATAAAGCAGTGACCCACAATGGTCACAGAAGGTTGGGCTCCCGTACGTGTGGATCTTAAATTTGTGCTTGCTTCTGGGATCCTGAAGGAAAAAACAGAAAGAGATTCCCAAGTCATTAAAAGTGAGATTGACAGACCATTAATATATTACTTCAACTGCCAAAAACTTTCCAGCTCTGCAACTTATGCTACAGAAAAATATATTCCAGCATGTAGCTTATTCACCACCACAACAGCGGTACCTACCTCGGTGCAGGTACGTTGGCCTCCGTTCCTATTTTTCCTTTGCTTTGGTGTAAGAAAGAATACGTCAGCTCAGTGAACGCAGACTTGTTCCTGTGATTCATCTACACTAAAACTTACAAACACTGACTGTACATATACATAAAGTGTAATGACGGCATTCAGCCTGTGGCTAAAGTGTCACATACTGCCTGCTTGTTTACAGCGTGTTATCACCATTCTGAAATGATGACACAAAACATAGCAGGAGAGGAGGGAAGTAAGGGTTTGTTAAGGGGCTGATCTGAAATACAGTCAAATGACTGTAAAATCAGGATCTCAAAGAAAGGATCATCTTGAAAAGTTGCAAATTTATAACGTACACTATTGTAAATGAAAGTGAACAAATTCTAACTTGGCATGTAGCAAATATTTTACCGAGACTGCTATTCCCATCTGGTTTTCCAATAGAGAAATTTATAGCAAGGACATTTTAAGGCCACCAGCAGCTTGGAAATGCTTTCTAATTTAGGAGCAGTGAAAGGGAATACACCCAAATCACTTAAAACCAAACACGGTATGACACATCCAAATACATCTGCTGTTTCTCTAGGGCTAGAGGTCCCCTTCGGAAAACCAAGAACATTTATATGAAAGTTAGAAATCACAACTTCAATACATTCACCCACATCAGGCTCATTCCACATATACATAGCCACAGAACTCCACGTTCACCAGACTCGGGCAGCCTGTTCCCAACACTTGGAGATGTGCGTTGCCAAAACAAACAGCATGATAGCTCGATGCTTCTGTGCACATCATATATATTTTGATAACCTTTATGACCACTTCCAGTCCCAACTACACGGTTTAACACGGATTTGGGAAACACTGTTTACCTCTGTGTTTTAGTAAAAACACAGTCTTGATCAGAAGTTGGGAAGAGCAGTAATTCTTCTTCATTAAAAAATACACCGGGGTTTGTAATCAATTCTTGCTAACATTCATTCTTTTTTTCCTTCAGATTTTTACAGCCTCATACACTGACAGAAAGACCATGGAAATTACAAAATGTCAGGTCTTTCATGCATTAAAGCATCCTTCACAAAAATACAACTGCAAAATGAGGCCTCAAAACGTTTTTCTTCTGCTTATATTTTATAGTAATATACCTTTAAAGCAAAAGTAAAAGATTCCTCTAGTGTAAGTGTTTTCCCAAGAAACTGAAGAAATTTGGGAACTCCTAACTGTAATTTTCGTAAAAATATGACTATGAGAAGGCAAAATTCTTGCCTTCAAATCTGTGAAGGTATTTTTTGGTTTGGTAAGCATTCTTTGTGTGAGGTTTTTTGGTACTGATTCTAAGTTTTATCACGAATCCATACCCAGTATGGATAGAAATTATT